GATGTTATCATAAGTCGAGGTCAGAGAATGAGATTGTTCAACAACTAACAGAAAGATAATTGCAGAAAAACCAGACTTCGTGGCGTCTCCCTCTTATTATCTTCTGAAAAAGTTTAAACATGACATTTTTCCTCGGTAAACATTTTAGTTGACCGAAACCGACCTTTAACATACTTACAAAACTTGGCTCATTTCAGACAGAAAATCAAGAAATGCATATTAACCTGATTTCTTCTTTAAATGAGGAATAAAAATCATTACTTACTGTTTATGTAAAATAAAAATGAGTAGTTCTCTTCAACCTGTAAACATTGAGTGAACTAACACAATTTGATTATCAAACATTTGTAAAACAGTGATGATTATAAAAATTGTCTTTTCTGCTTGATTAATTCAAGAAAGAGAGTCACCAGATGGCTCAAACTGTATTCAGATCAATGAAATAACAGTCTCTGTCCATCTGATAGATTTGAGGTCATCAGGGTCAGATCAGGTTCACTACACACCCTTTTATCACAACTCACTCCTTAAACTTTTCTCCATCCACTCCATCCTGCCTGGACTCTCTTTTTCACCTCTTTACTACATTCCCCATTTTCCTGGACAGTGGACCCCAAGTACTTGAAGTCCTGCACCTTTGTGACCTCTGCTCCTTTTAGCCTCACTGTTCCACCAGCCTCCCTTTTTCACACACATGTACTCTGTCTTTCTAGGACTGACTTTCATTCCTCTTCTTTCAAGTGCATACCTCCACCTCTCCAAGTTTTCTTCCACCTGTTCCCTGTTCTCACCACCGATCACAATGCCATCTGCAAATATCATAGTCCACATAGATTCCTGCCTGACCTCATCTGTTAGTCGGTCCATCACCAGAGCAAAGAAGAAGGGGCTCATAGTTGATCCTTGATGCACTCCCACCTTCACTTTGAAGCTATCTGTTACTCGTACAGCACATCTCACCACTGTCCTGCTGTCCTCATACATGTCCTGTACCAGTCTAACATACTTCACTGCCCCTCCAAATTTCCTCATGCGATACCACACCTCCTCTTTCGGCACTCTGTCATATGCTTTTTCTAAATCTACAAAGAAGCAATGGAGTTCTTTCTGACCCTCTCTGTACTTCTCTGTCAGCATCCTGAAAGCAAAGGTGGCATCCATGGTGATTTTCTTGACATGAAACCATACTGCTGCTCACAAATAGTCACCTCTTGTCTACCTGTATGTCTGGCTTCCACAACTCTCTCCCAGATCTTCATTGTGTGGCTCATCAACTTAATTCCCTTGTAGTTGCCACAACTCTGTACATCACCCTTGTTCTTAAAAATGGACACCAGCACACTTCTTCTCATTCCACAGGCATTTTCTCACTTTCAAATATGCCATTGAATATTTGGATCAAAAACATCACTACCATCTCTCCAAGACATTTCAATACTTCCACTTGTATGTCATCAGGTCATACTACTTTCCCCTTCATTCTTTTCAGAGCTTTCCAAACTTTACCCTGGCTAATCTATCCCACTTCCTACAGCTTCTATGACCTCTACTGTGGTTTCTCTTTCATTCTCTTTATTCATTAGCCCCTCAAAGTACTCCTCCTACAGTGAGGAAAATAAGTATTTGAACACCCTGCGACTTTGCAAGTTCTCCCACTTAGAAATCATGGAAGGGTCTAAAATTTTCATCTTAGATGCATGTCCACTGTGAGTGACATAATCTAAAAAAAAAACAACCTGGAAATCATAATGTATGATATTTTAAATAATTTATTTGTGTGTTACTGCTGCAAATAAGTATTTGAACACCTGCCAATCAGCAACAATTCTGGCCCTCAAAGACCTGTTAGTCCACCTCTAAAACGTCCACCTCCTTTCCACTTATTTTTCTAAATTAGAAGCACCTGTTTGAGGTGGTTAGCTGCATAAAGACACCTGTCCACCCCACACAATCAGTAAGAATCCAACTACTAACATGGCTAAGACCAAAGAGCCGTCCAAAGACACTAGAGACAAAATTGTAGACCTCCACAAGGCTGGAAAGGGCTATGAGGCAATTGCCATGCAACTTGGTGACAAAAGACCAACTGTTGCAGCAAGTATTAGAAAATGGAAGAAGTTAAACATGACTGTCAATCTCCCTCAGACTGGGGCTCCCTCTCAAGATCTCACCTCGTGGCGTATCAATGATCCTAAGAAAGGTGAGGAATCAGCCCTGAACTAAACGGGAGGAGCTGCTCAATGATCTGAAGAGAGCTGGCACCACTGTTTCCAAGGTTACTGTGGGTAATACACTAAGACGTCATAGTTTAAAATCATGCATGGCACAGAAGGTTCCCCTGCTTAAATCAGCACACGTCCAGGCCTGTCTTAAGTTTGCCCATGACCATTTGAATGATCCAGAGGAGTCATGGGAGAAAGCCAGATGAGACCAAAATAGAACTTTTTGGTCTTAATTCTACTCGCTGTATTTGGAGGACGAAGAATTATCCCGTCCCAAAAACACCGTCCCTACTGTGAAGCATGGGGGTGGAAGCATCATGCTTTGAGAGGGTTTTTTTTTTTTGCTTATGGGACAGGACGACTGCACTGTATTAAGGAGAGGATGACTGGGGCCATGTATTGCGAGATTTTGGGGAACAACCTCCTTCCCTCAGTTAGAGCACTGAAGATAGGTCGTGGCTGGGTCTTCCAACATGACAATGACCCGAAGCACACAGCCAGGATAACCAAGGAGTGGCTCCGTAAGAAGCATATCAAGGTTCTGAAGTGGCCTAGCCAGTTTCCAGACCTAAACCCTGTAGAAAATCTTTGGAGGGAGCTCAAACTCCGTGTTTCTCAGCAACAGCCCAGAAACCTCGCTGATCTAGAGAAGAACTGTGTGGAGGAATGGGCCAAAATCTCTGCTGCAGTGTGTGCAGACCTGGTGAAAAACTACAGGAAACCTTTGACCTCTGTAACTGCAAACAAAGCCTACTGTACCAAATACTAACATTGATTTTCACAGGTGTTCAAATACTTATTTGCAGCAGTAACACACAAATAAATTATTAAAAAATCTTACATTGTGATTTCCAGATTTTTTACATTTATTTTAGATTATGTCTCTCACAGTGGACATGCACCCAAAATGAACATTTCAGACCTATCCATGATTTCTAAGTTGGAGAACTTACAAAATCGCAGGGTGTTCAAATATTTATTTTCCTCGCTGTATATTCCCATCATGCTCTCCTCACTTAGAACATTACCATTCCTATCTTTAACAAGCCTAACCTGTTGCACATCCTTTCTAGCCTGATCGCTCATCTCACCAATCGGTACGTCATTCTCACCCTTTTTCATGTCCAACCTCCCATACAACTCATCATACACCTTCTGCTTTGCTACCTCTGTCTTTGCTCTACATTGCATCTCCTTATATTCCTGTCTCCTCTCTTCAGTCATCTCACTCATATTTCTTCTTGGCTAACCTCGTTCTTTGATTAGCTTCCTGCACTTCATTATTTCACCACCAGGTTTTCTTATCATCTTTTCTCTGTCCATCAAGTATCTTCCTACTGCCTCTAATTAGTGTTGCTGTAGTATCCCAGTCATCTGGAAGCTTGTTCTTACCACCCAGATCCTTTAACAGCTCCTCTCTGAATTTCTCACAACATTCTTACTTCTTCAGTTTCCACCATTTGTTCTTCTTCTCTGATTTTACTCTTTTTTTGTTCTTCACAACAACAGTCATTATACACACAACCATCTGATGCTATCTGGTCATGCTCTCCTTTGTTACAACCTTACAGTCCCCAATCTCCCTGAGGTTTCCTCTTCTGCACAGATTGTAGTCTAGCTGTGCACTCTTGCCTCCACTCTTGTATGTCACTCTATGTTCCTCCCTTTTTTGAAAATAAATGTTGACTACAGCTATTTTCATTCTCTTGGAAAAATCTGCCAATATCTGTCCTTCCTGGTTTCTTTCCTTGACACCAAACCTACCCATCAAGTCCTCATCCCCGCTGTTTCTTCCACCAACATGCCTATTCAGGTCTGCTCCGATAACCACTCTCTCCTCCCTGGGAATACTTTCTGGCTCTTCACTCAGATCCTTCCAAAATTCATCTTTCTCCTCTACATCACATCCAGTATGTGGAACATAACCACTGACCATATTTAGCATCATACCTTCTACTTCTGCCTTCAAGCACATCACCCCAATGACACTTTTCACCTCTACCACATTCTTTGTTATTTCCTCCTTCCGGACCACCCCTACTCCATTTCTCTTTCTTTCTACAGTGGTCAAACAGTTTTAACCCTGCTCCATTGCTACGAGCCTTGCTGCCTTTTCACTTGGCCTCTTAGACACATAAAACATCCACCTTCCTTCTCTGCATCATGTCAGCAAGCTCTCTACCATTGCCTGATGTTCTCCCCACATTTAGAGTTGCAACCCACAGTCCTACATTCTTGACTTTCCTCTTCTCCCTCTGTCTCCTGACATGTTTCCCTCCTCATAGTTTTTAACTAACACCAGCAGAATTTCTACCAGCACCCTGTTTATCAACAGTGCCGGTGGCGGTTGTTTTTAACTCGGGCCTCAACCGATCCGGTATAGTGTCACTCAGATGAAGTTGCTTATTAGTTTTGGCAGAAGTGTTTAACGCCGGATGCTCTTCCTGACACCACCCTCACCAATTACCTGGGCTTGGGACTGGCACAAGAGATCCACTGGCTTGTGCTCCCTTGTGGCTGGTTTTCTATGTGTACCAAAATCATTCTTATAAATCTCTACAAATAAGTATCATCTGTCATCTTCAGTATTACATTTTTGAAGCCTAGCAGAAAAGTCTGAATTTTATTTTATTTTTTACAGTTAAGGACCTAAAAAAAGTATACTTTAGCTGCACAGTAGAATTAATAGAAAATCAGAGTTTCTCTTTCTTTACCTGTTTCATAAATATAACCCTGAATATGTGATGGGATCGGTTTATGTGTATGTGTTTGTTTTAGTTTTTTACAGAATACGGACCAGACTACTCGCTGGAAATCAGTCCAAGTTGTAGACCAGACCGAAATAACAGCAAACACCTGGAGCAGGTCATTAGCACCATCAAAGGTATGTGCAATGTTTGTTTGGTTCGATGCACAGGTGGGTCAGTGTGTTTAGGTGTGGAGTGTGAACAGGTGTGTGTTTGTACCAAACTGAACTCTCACTCACCTTTAGTCATTTTGTCTTTGCATGACTCCTTTGCTGTTTGGGTTCATGTGTCTGTTCTTCTTTCCAAACATCTCTATGTTGGATAAAAGTGAAGCTTCTTTATTCTTCTCTCCATTTGGTTCTTAACATCCCTTTGTGTGTTTGTGTTATTAACAGTGTGTATGACTTTTTTAATTTACTTACATCTCATTTATAATCTTGATACATGTGTATTTCTATTACTTCTTCATGTTAATCCCTGTAGTTCATCCTTGCGTGCGTGCATGCGTGCGTGTTTTGGTCTTGGCGTTGACAGCCCACATCTCCCAGGAGAAATACTGCAGCAGGGTGAAGCACAGGGTGAAGTTTCTGTAGAGGTGAGGTCAGGAATTTACTTAAACAAAAATGACCACAGAGCATGTATTTGAGTTGAGTTCATTTTTGGAAAATCCACTGCAGAGAGGTGTTAACAGCAGACGGAGAAGAGCTCCTATTTTAGTTATCCTTGTGTGTGTGTTTTGGTGACAAGGTTAAGTCAATACTTGTTTTCTTTTGAAAGGTGTAAAATAAACGAATAGAACTTAACGACTGAAAGGCGGAAAAACCCAACAGTGTATAAAATTTAAACTTTGATCAACTCAGATTTAAGGCCATATTATAAAGCCCTTTTTTATCCAAGGAACAGTGACTCAGTACTTTTCCACTAGTAACTGTTTCCTTGGTACCTGGGGAAAAACAGGACCTAGATCTTGTAGGATCAGTGTGATTCTTCTTTCACATTTTCTGTCATTCAAAGAGTCAATCCATTGTTTTCATGGGCTGAAACATACAGTATTGTACTGCTAATATTATGGTTTAATCTCTTATTGTTTAAAGGTTTATTATTATTGCTACCAGACAGGGATCAGATAGTCTGGCTGTACTGGACAATAACTGCTTGTAATCTGTCCTCCCAAACAGACCCAGAAGTATTTTTCATTTGTTAAGTACTGTAAAATGGTAATTTGATCATTATTGAGACCATAAGCATCTTTGTGACCATTTAATGACAGTCATACTGACTATAGTTTATGGGGACTAATATTAACTGAAGTTCATAGACTAAAATGTGGGTACATGAGGACAACCACACATGTAAAGGCTTGGTCATTTAAGATAGACCATATATATCAAGGGAGGACCTCATTTTTATCGCTAAGCATTACAGAACCCTATGACATCTGTGCATGCTATTCACACACTTGTTTTGGACCTTTAACAATGTTTTTGACTACTGACATTAGCCAAATTACATTTCTTTTGCCCCATGAGTAAACTGCTATAAACAACAGAGTATACCATACCATACCATACCATACCATACATAAAGCACTTAAAAAACAGCAACAAAAAAAAGGCCAACAAAAGTGCTGTAAAATCAAACCAATAACCTAAGGATACAAAACACAAATCTAGTTTTAAAAAACTAAACAAATAGATTTATTCATCAAAGCACAATATACCGGTAGTCAAAGTAATCTCACACTGAGTCAAATTTATCTTACACTGGGTCAAAGGCCAGGGAATAAAACTGCATTTGTAAGTTAGACTTTAAAACAACAACTGAGAAAGTCTGCCTAACATGCAGTGGCAAATTCCCAAGTTTGGATTTGCAACAAAACAGCTCTTTCAGTTCTGAGGTTGTATAACATTTGAAACCTTTAAAAGCATCTGATCTGACCTCAGAGAGATAAGAGGGGGCAGAACTGTTAAAAGACTTAAAAAATATACAAAGTAAAATGTAAAATGCAACAAAACTGGGAAAATATGTCCTCTATTACCTGTAATATGTCATAAGTAAGTAGACATTCTGTGTAACATTTAATGAAAACAGCAAAAACAGAAAGTTGAGAGCAACAAACTGTAAGCCATACACTGCAGCACCATCTTGAATTGCTAAAGATGGCTGTGTTTGAAGTGGCACTGTAACCTTGGCTTGGTGATGAGTGGTGCTGTCCATGTCCAGTGATAAATTGTGGTTCTGCATTACTACAGATTGTCTAAAAGGGCCTGAACTAGGGGGAGAAGACCATTGCTGCCGATGTTGTGGAAAGAAACACTGGCATTACTCCTGGCAATATGGTGTAGGGGCTACAAGGTATAACTTCAGATCACCAGTGGTAGTGATCCGGGGGACTCTTGACAACACAACTCTGTGTCAATGAAATCAGCATTGCATGCCCTACCCTTCCTGACATCTCACCCTATTACAGTCTTTCAACACAAAAATGCCCGTACACATACTGGATGTGTGTCTATGAACTGCCTGCCTCATGTTGAGGGCCTCCCCTGATCGCCTGGGTTCCTGCAATCAAACATGTGAAATCATCTTGGTTGCCAACTTCAATCTAGTGTGAGCTACCAGTTTTGGAGAGCCAGTTACAACGGCTGTACGCCGACGTCACGGGAGTGGATACAATGGCTGTATGACTTTGTTCCTCACTTAATCATAGCTTGTATGAAGGACTGAAAGGGTCCCATACCCTACTGATATGAGATCAAGATTGTGCCGGCACTGCCAACCTCATAATTCATTTGATCTGATACTGTAATCATTGCAATATAGTCACATGCTTTTTCAACACATGTATTTTACTTTCATTTGTACCACTTTATATCAGTTTTGCAACTGATAATTGCGACTCCACTCAGCTCTCGTCTTATCGATTCTTCTCAGGTGTAGGTGAATTGCCACTGTGACTTGTTTCCCCACTCTGTGGGTGGGATCGTCAATGCAACGTGGACAGTTTCTTGTAACAGCGTCCAGCTCGCGCTGAATCCTCTGATATGCCAATAAAGACACAAAGGTCTGGACCTTGTCATTGGTCCACGGCATTGTTCTTGGAGCTTCCATACTGAACTAGAAACCAGAAGACTAGTAAAAACAAACTAACCCACACGTTACAATGACTGGAGAGGAAATGGCAGTTCAGATGTAGTTTGCAGTTATTGCTGATACATGTCAACCCGTTAGGATGTTTACCTGTATACTGACCTCCTGAAATCCATAAAATTCACACCAAAAAAACTTTCACACAAGACAATGGGGGTTGGCTGCAGAGGTGGGGCAAAGAGCAGGGAGGAGGAGAATTAGCAGGAGGGGACCACCTTAGCATTTCCTTACAGGTCAGTTCTGAGACAGAATATAAATTTGAAGCTAAGTTTTTGAAAAATACATAAGACATTTTCTGTGCATCCATAGTCATGAAAAATGTGGTAAAATCCATATAATTTACAAAAAATCTGTAAGACTTGACATGCATGTGCTGGGTGGGACATCCAGTGACGTATCTCTGCTGCTGAATCAATGGCTGCTGCCTGCTTCCATCAGAATTGTCCCTCAGAGCAGTTCGCTTGGAACCACAAACAAGATGGTCCAATTAATCGGACTGAGTGGGGGTGGGTACCAGCAGTGGGCAGGCCCCTAACTGGTGCGGTGTGGTGCAGAACAGTTGAGTGTAGAGAAGGTTGCAAAGCGCCATATTTGGGTGCTTAAACAATTAGTTAGCGAGTGTAGTTTTGGGAGGTGCCTGAGTGCACAAAGCTTATTTAAATAAAGAAATAAAATGAAAACTGAGACACTGCCTAAGAGAGCTCAAGCTGGAATTTGTAAGTTTATGTGAATTTTAATTACATTAAAATAAGTATTTATAATGTTGTCTTTTTACTAAACCAGTGCTTTTTGATGTGCAATTGCTGTATTGTTCACGGACTGCAGTGAATGGAGGTTGTACAGTGTAAATGTGTTGTGAGTTGTTTGATACTAAAACGAAGTGACCACTGCGAGCCGATCTTTACATGTTTATATCTGCTTCATTCCCAGCAAACTGCTGGCATTTGAGTCATGCAATTATAAACCAGTCCCACAGATAGACCTGCCATTGAGTTTTAGGACTCAAAATGGCTTTTTTATGCCAGTTAAATGAACCAAAAACATTTATTTTAATATATGCTGGTGGTTTCTCTGTTTTACAGAAAGCATTGTTTACTGAAAAAAACTTATTTTACTTACAAAACAATGCATTATATTTCATTGAAACCCTTAAAAGTTTGACCAGCAAACTTGGCTGGCATTAGAATAGCATCAGAGTTTCTCCACGGAAAAAAGTATTTAGTTGTTAAAATAAGGAAACAAAAAATTAAATACAAATTTAGAGCAATTTAGTTATTTGAATAACATTCCTGTTTTATGAGCTTTGCTGACACTGTCTCTCTAAAGAACTAGTTTAACTGACTAAATGGTAGGTCAGTATGTATCGGTTCAACAACAGGCAACGGGTTCATGAGAGAGACTCAGACGTCATTTGCAAAAAGCAGAGACAAGATACATAGTTCTCAAAATTGACACTCTCCTCTCTATGATGATGCCTTGATAACTTGTTCATGAACATCACATAAATGATTGGAGACCGGGGACAGCCATGGTGAAGTCCAACCTGCACACAGAATGAATCTGACTTTGTGCAGAAGGTGTAGACACAACATTTTTCAGTAATACAGGGACAGAATAGCCCTAAAAGTGTCTCAGGCACTCTGTACTCCCTTACCACCATCCACAAAATCCCTTGAGGATCACAGTCATAAGCCTTCTCCAGATCCAGAAAGCATTTGTAGACCATGGAGTTAAACTCTCATGACCCACTTGGCAACACTGCAAGGGTTTGACAATCCGTCAGAGCTTTCATTCCAACACCCTGGGGTATCCCCAGAGATGCTAAGAAGTGTGCTGTCTTGATTATTGCCCCCTAAAATTGGGGCCAACCACTGCAACTCCACAGGCGTTGCCCCAGCTCTCTACGCAACATAAAATTTTCAATTCAGTTTATTTATATAGCGCCAAATCACAACAAAGTGGTCTCAGGGCACTTTACAGGAACATTCACTTACATAGAAAAGCCAATTTAGAGAACTGTCAGTCATATGAGCTCTACAACATCCAGACCTTCAGCATCTTAGGGCAAATCTTTTAATCTTTTCCACTACTGGCACCCTACCACCAGCTTTTAACTTTCTTGGCAGTCTTTGTCATGGTAATGGACTTTCCCATGAGTCTTCGGACTCTGCTTCCTCAAAGGTGGACACGGTGTGTCTATTGTCATTGTATTATATCAGTTATTGATATGTTGATGCAATTTATTTAATATTAGCAAACTGCATTTCCTTAAAATGGAAAAAATAAAAGAATCGGAATGCAAACTAATATTTTGGCAAGTCACAAATGATATGCATTTCCAGTTGCATCTGTTTACAATTCTTTCAGTATTATTAGCAGATCAGAGAACACTTCTGAAATAAGCAGTTGTTGGTTTGGGGGAAAATCACTGTCTTTAGATGGC